AGTGACAACTAATGGGCACAAGGTTTCTTTCTGGGGAGATGGAAATGTTCTAAAATTAGATTGTGTTCCTTGATGCACAACTCTTTAACAAAAAACCATTGATTGTACACTTTCTTTTTTTTTTTGAGACGGAGTCTCACTCCATCACCCAGGTTGGAGTGCAGTGGCACGATCTCGGCTCACTGCAACCTCTGCCTCCTAGGTTCAAGCAATTCTCCTGCCCTAGCCTCCGGAGTAGCTGGGACTACAGGCACTCACCACCATGCCTGGCTAATTTTTGCATTTTTAGTAGAGACGGAGTTTCGCCATGCTGGCCAAGCTGGTTTTGAACTCCTGACCTCAGGTGATCCACCTGCCTCGGCCTCCCAAAGTGCTAGGATTACAGGCATGAACCACTGTGCCTGGCTTGATTAAACACTTTAAACGGGTGAACTTTATGATATGTAAAGGAGACGTCATCAAAGCTGCTGAAAAAGGATGAAATAAAGACATTTTCAGAAAAGAAAAGTGGATACAATTTGTTTTCAGCAAACTCACACTGAAACAACTGTTACAAGAAGAGGGATGCAATCTCGTGGAGAAGACTGGAGATGCAGGCAGGAATAGGGGAAAACACAAACATGGATAGCTACAAACGTCCACAAGAGGTGGAGGTGGGCTGGACTCCAACCCAAGCCCTGTGCACACCGGCAGAATGCGTGCCTCAGCCCTGCTCTCCCTCCACCAATGGCACTCCGTTTCCTTCCAGCTCAGGGCCTTTGCAGATGTTGTTCCCTCTGCTTGAACTTGATGTTCCCTGCCTTCACATTCCACTTTGGTCTTACTCCTACTCATCCTTCAGCTTTCAGCTTTCATTCCACTTCCCCAGCAACACCAATCTCTCCCTTCAGGATGTGTCAAGACCTCCCGCAACATACTGTGGGAGAGGTTATGCCTTTTGTTCACAAAACCTATGTGTTTTACACATATACATGTTTGTGTGATTCTTTGATCCATTTCTCCTTTACACATTCACGCCTGGGTACATTCCCCATACATTTAATCAATTTTTCCCTTTCCTGGGGAAAAAGATGAAAATAAATTATGACTTAACTATTGTTCTCTAGTGAGTCACGCCAAGATCTGCCTGTACCTTTTTTTAGAAAAATAAGTTTCACATTACTGAAGCCAATGGAATGTGAAATGCTTGCAAAGTTCCTGTGAGAAATCTCTGTTCAAAAATTGTGCCAGCTTGCTGCTTAATGATATTATTATCCTCAAAAGCAGAGGAACTTGACAGCTGGACCCACCCCGGAGAGGCAGGGCGTCAAGACCGGACCTCACTGCCGTCAGCCCTTTCTCCCTGAAGGCGCCACAGGACTTTCTGCTCTTTTTTTTTTTTTTTTTTTTTGAGATGGAGTTTCGCTCTTGTTGCCCAGGCTAGAGTGCAATACTGCAACCTCAGCTCACTACAACCTCCATCTCACGGGTTCAAGTGATTCTCCTGCCTCAGCCTCCCGGGCAGCTGGGATTACGGGCGCCCACCACCGACCTCGGGTGATCCCTTCGCCCGGGCCTCCCACCTCCTGCTCTTTGAAGCTGTCATCCACTTGTGTGCAAAACCTTCTCTGTCCACTTGTCAGAAAGGACAGTGAGGACAGAGAGACAGATCTGCTCTGACATATGAGAGAAAGGCAAGCAAGGAAATCTCATAATCAAAGGGCTGAAATCAGAGAATATTCAGATGCTAAATGACAGAGCTCTAAGTGAAGCAAGAAGGGCGAGTAAAGGAACTTGGCTGGTCAGATTTGAAGTCTCTTATTGTCCTGCAGTTAATGTTTATTTGATTTTTAAAAACTAAAGTAAGGCTTGGCCTAGAGAAAGCCTCTTTCTTGCTAAGTAGGTAAAACTGGAAGACTAACTCCATGAGGACAGATAACATGTCACCAGCATGGAACTGCTACATGGAAGTGCTCAATGAATATTGTTAAATGAATGAATGAATGAGCAAACCATCCTGAGCACTTAGCGATAACACCTGCTAGATGAAAGAATCATTTCTCTTTTTTCTTCTTCTTCTTCTTTTTTTTTTTTTTTTTGAGATGGAGTTTCACTCTCATTGCCCAGGCTGGAGTACAATGGCATGATCTCGGTTCACTGCAACCTCCTCCTCCTGGGTTCAAGCGATTCTCCTGCCTCAGCCTCCCGAGTACCTGGGATTACAGGCACGCACCACCACGGTCGGCTAATTTTGTGTGTGTGTGTGTTTTTTTTTTTTTTTTTTTTAGTAGAGATGGGGTTTCACCATGTTGGCCAGGCTGGTCTTAAACTCCTGACCTCAGATGATCCCCCGCCTTGGCCTCCCAAAGTGCTGGGATTACAGGCGTGAGCCACTGTGCCCAGCAGAAAGAATCACTTCTTAATGATCACCCGGCACATTAATGCCTCAAGGACAGACTTCCTTCAAAATCTATGGCTCAGGTAGACAATGTCACATCTCTTTAGCCTGAGTTCTTCTTGCCTAGTGTCTTCCTATAAACACCATCTACCCTACAGCCACACAGAGCTGAAGGCTGCTGGGCTTTGCAGACCCCTCCGTTTGGGAGTAAAGGAATATAGAAGCAGAGGAGGTCCCTGGTGAGCATCTTGGTTTACTTCCCCAGGCTTCCCCTTGGCCATGGGCAGGGCAGGGACAGTGAGGGCATCCAGAGAGAATGGCAGGCCACAACTTGCTGGGCCGCTTCTTTGCAAGAAAATACCATAGCTTCATTCCAACACTCAGTCAGCCATGAGATAAACAGCATAGTTTATAAGCATATAAATAGTATCTTATATAAACTGCACTGTGTTTTAGAAACTACCTAAATAACAGTTGATTTAGTGGTATTCAGAGTCCCTATAAATGGACAAATTAAGTAACTTAGCTAGGCATGCATACAGCTATCCAACACCGTGTATACTCATATATATGCACACATGAGCCTATGTTCACATGGGCCACCTAATCCTGCACGAACACCCCTGAATACAATTCATGTCTTAGACCGCGATGCATGACAGCTTTCACACGAGCAACCTGTTTTCACATTCATTCAGAAGTGAATGTTTTCATATGAGATTTGAAAAACATTAGTTTAGACATTTTCAGGTTATTAGAGTGAAAAAAAAAACTATCAGAGACTTTTACAAAACCATTATTTCAAAAATAGCTAAGCATCAGACTTCATAACCTTATTTTAGAAATTCTATTTGCATAATTCTTGGTAAGATACAATATAAATTCACTCTAACGCTGGGGAGTGTCTTACAAAGAGGCCATCTAACTTGGCAACGTTCAGTCTCTGAGTGAGAGCTGTAACTCGTGCTGACTGCCGCACACATATGTGACGATGAGGACACCGAAGCCCTGGGCACAGTTTTGCAAGGGCTGGCTTATTTTTAACTTCATGAGTTTATTAAGGTAATATACTCCATTTTTGTATGCATATATCCCCCAAATAATGCTTCATTTATCTAGAACCCTACATTTGTGACTGACATTTCTGCAGCACAGCAGAGGTGGAGCTGAATTTGTTTTTGTTTTTGTTTTTCAGTAGGAAATAACGCTCCAAAGCCTATTACCAGGACATAACATCACCACTCTATCCTGGCCCACACAAAATGGGCGGAATCGGCAACGAGGTTTCACTATTAGTAAAAAGAGTTTTATGAAACCGTAACAATGCTGATGACTTACATGCACAGGGCTTTACCCAGCACAAGGCCCTGTCCTCACAAGGAATCCTTGAGTTGTTGGGCTACTACTCGTTTGCAACAAAAGAAAGTGAGGCTTTGAGGATGGACTGTCTGCCCCAACTCCCCGAGCACCCTCCAACCCCTGCTGCCAGGCAGTGCGTGGGTCTTTCCAAAGAAGGAACAACAATTTCCCAAAACCGTTCACCCAGCTCGAGTGATGTGCGGATGTAACAGTCACCTGTACTGACAGAGACTGCCCGACTGGGAATTTTCCATGTGGGGTATGAGAAACACAAATCTGGTTATTTATGCGAAGCAAATGAATTTTAATCAAGCCATAGCTCTACTTCCCTCTGCACCACTGTGCACAGAGTCAAAACGCACTGAGAGGCTGGGTGCGGTGGCTCACGCCTGTAATCCCAGCACTTTGGGACGCCGAGGTGGGCAGATCACGAGGTCAGGAGATCGAGACCATCCTGGCCAGCACGGTGAAACCCCGTCTCTACAAAAAATAAAAAAAAAAAAAAAAATTAGCCGGGCGTGGTGGCGGGCGCCTGTAGTCCCAGCTTCTTGGGGGGCTGAGGCAGGAGAATGGCGTGAACCTGGGAGGCGGTGGAGCTTTCAGTGAGTGGAGATGGCACCACTGCACTCCAGCCTGGGCGACAGAGCGAGACTCCATCTCAAAAAAATAAAAAAATAAAAAAAAATTTTTAAATACACTGAGAGCCAAACACCTTCCAGGGATAGGGTTACCTATAGCAGGATAAGATGTTTCTGTGTAGGGCTCCGGCTTTGGCTGTGCAGGAGCTCAGGCAGAGCGTCTCCCAAGGCTGTGGCTATCAGTTGAGCACAAGTCCTTTGGTGCTGGGCTGTAGGTAGTGGCATAATTACAATACCTGTAAACTTTGACCTCTGCTGCCTTCCCTCCACTCAAAGCACACCGACTATGCCATGGAGATCCCAACTGTAAGCGCGGTATGGTAAGAATGGCACACTCTGCTCACCCAGCCCTCCTTCCCTTTCCCTCTCCCTTTCTCTTTATGAATATGTGTGTGTGTCATAAAGGAAACAAGGAAAATCCTTATTTTGCTCCAGAATGTACACAACTCAAGGAGATAAAAAGTATGTAAGGAAGGAAGTCATAAACATTCTAGAACATAAGGTAACAGACGCTGCAGGTTTATCCATAGGCCTCAGGGGATGGTGGCCACCCACAGGTGGTCACGGCCTGGCCTCCCCTCCCTCGCGTCTCTCCCCCACCACCTCTTTGCTCTCAGAGGGCCCACCTGGGGTCAGGCCTGATGCACTGGTAAAAGGCAGCCATCCTCCTGAGTGTGCTGTGAGCCTCCAGCTCTCTCATCCTCCTGGAAGCTAGCAGCAGGGAGAAGAGTGGGCCTCCCTGTCCTCTGAGTGGTCTAGGGCCCACGGGTCACCACGGGTTGCTGATCAAGAGCCCTTGTCCCCATCTCTCACAGAAGCACCCACGGGCCAGGAGGAAGTGGGGCTTCTGCCAAGCCCAGCCCTCCTGTGCCCCGTGAGCTCCTTGGGCGGGTGCACAGGCACACAACAGAAAAGGCCGTCTAAGAAACACATGCACTTCCGCCTTCCACTCCAAGCCCTGAAGGCCGGGATGGGGGTGGCCTGGCTCTGTAGGGAGCTGGACTTGCCTCCCTGTGATTGGCATCCCCGCTGAGTTGCTTGGGCTTTGTTGATTGTGCTCACCATGGCAGCAGGCAAAGGGCAACGGCAGGTGAGGCTGCATTCCCCATCTGAGGAAGGGCAGGGCTCAGGGAGAAAGAAGAATGCTGAGAAAATCGGAAACAGCTTCTGAGCCAGACACACCCAGGCCCAGGGCTCTCCTCTCTCATTCCAGGACCAAAACCACATGGCCCCTCCTGCCTCGCCTTGACGTCCACTTGCTATCTCGGTGCGAGGGACCCTGTGGGAGGCACGCGCGTCTCTGCCCCGCACACTTGCTCCTCGGTTTCAGTTTTCTTTTCACTTTTCCTTAAAGGCTCATCGTGTTACCTCAGGTCCTTGATATGCTTTATTAACTGCTTTCCTGGGGCCGTCCCAGTGCTCCTTTACCAGGGATCTGCTTGCCCCACTCATTGTCCCACTGATGGGATTTCCAGCCCTCCCCCTGGAGCCCACACCTGGCAGGGGCAGGGGCCACGCCTTCCCAGAAGAAATCACCCACTGAACCTGCCTAGCCGGCTCCCCAGCCGCCCCACGTGACAAAGCCACTTGCCCTGGTGGCTCCTCTCTGATTACCTGCAGCTGCCACTTCAAAATAATAGACTCCTGCAACCGGCATCACAATGCCACCTGACTCAAGTTCCTCCCAAGTCTGATGGCTGCCAACTGCAACCGGTACAGTCAGCAGTTTCCAGGCAATATCTGGAGTGTTGACAGAGGGCTCAGGGTGGCAGGTGTGATTCTATGTTGCTAAAACCCAGGAACAGGCAGCACCAAGGGCGACTTCTGAAGATGGTTCTGAAGAAGTCCTAGTTTGCTTTTCTGTTTTCCAAATGGCAACTGTATATAGAATTCTACTCAAATGGCCTACAGTTTAAATAATAAAGCACAACAAACACATCTGATGATGACAGAAGAAAGCAGTGAGTTCAGAGGAGAGGTCAGATGATAATCACGCAGCGCGCTGAAGGTAGTTTACATACATCTGCCCTTTGTGCAATTAGAGTCTGCAGCCCACTGTGCTCCTGCCAACAACTTGGCCTTCTCCCAGGGAGAGGACCAATTAGCTGGTGGAGAGTTCCCTGTGTCCTGGGAGGTGGTGCAGGGGCCCCTGCAGCAGAGTGGATTACTAAAGGGACAGGGACTGGGCCCTTGAAGTCGCTAAGGACTGTCCCAGCCAGCAGCACTCTCTGCCCAGCAGCACGAGCTGGCCACACCCCACAAGGCCCACGGTGGCAATTCCACCCCGTTCAGTGAGCCGGATTGAGCTTGCAGCTTGCCTCTGCCACTAGCTTTCACCTGCTCTGGGCATGTGACCTGCCCTCTGTCAGCAGCAGGCCCCCTCAGGAGCCTCTTCAGTACTCTGTCCCCATGGAAGCCCAGCATGCAGGTCATGCCCAGCACAGAGTGGCCCAACGCCCCAACAAGACACCACTCCATACTGAGACAAAGCCCCCAAAGGGAGGCGCTGCCACATCGTGTGAATGCCCAGGGACCGAGAGATTTGCTGAAGAGCAGGGGTAGCCACACACCTGCAGGCCTTGACACCTCCTCTCACTGCCCCTCCACCGCCTCCCAGCGTGCTCTCCACAGCACGGTGCGCACGTTACCTCTCCGCTCAAATTTCAGGAGCAGAAAATGTCAGTTTTCTTTCTTTGCCCTTCTTGGCTGTGCCCAAGTCATACGTTCCCTGAGACATCAGAGAACCAAATGAAAAGGTCAGTGACACCCATGTGCATCTATTAAAATGGAATTTATAAACCGCAACAGAAAATACCTTCTGCAAGGACATCTAAGGACTTTGTGATAGGCCCTCCTCAGGCCCTAGGCTCATTTCATTCAGAGGGAAGGAAATGAACATTTATTTTTTTTAATTTTTTTTTTTTGAGACGGAGTCTCGCTCTGTCGCCCAGGCTGGAGTGCAGTGGCCGGATCTCAGCTCATTGCAAGCTCCGCCTCCCGGGTTCACGCCATTCTCCTGCCTCAGCCTCCCAAGTAGCTGGGACTACAGGCGCCGGCCACCACGCCCGGCTAGTTTTTTGTATTTTTTAGTAGAGACGGGGTTTCACCGCATTAGCCAGGATGGTCTCGATCTCCTGACCTCGTGATCCGCCCGTCTCGGCCTCCCAAAGTGCTGGGATTACAGGCTTGAGCCACCGCGCCTGGCCGGAAATGAACATTTATTAAGCACATCTCAGGTCTCATTTAAGGCCCACAACCAGCTATGAGTTCAATGGTCCGTCGCTTTTTTTCGCAGGTGAGGAAATAGAGGGTCTGAGCAGCTAAGCAACCAGTCCCAGATGACCGAGGCAGTCAGTGGAATCCGACCCTGAAATCAAGGCCTGTGCCCCGCACGTGTGAGCTCTTCCCCATGACGGCAGCTGCCTCCCAAGAAACCCTGGCCCAGAGTCTGAGTGACCAAGCAAGCTCTATCCTTTCTGGGCTGGAATCTGACAGCACGTATCAAAACCTGCCGCTCTAGTAATTTCACTTCTGGGGAATTTGTCCTAAGGAGATAATCCTGCATTCTTCTAACAGTGTCCTGGAAACATCCTGAAGGCCCACCAGTAGGAGACATAGGCAGGAGGCCAGACACAGCAGCAGGTCACAGTCATAGGAGGGATGTTATCCAGTCACTAGAAATCATGATTTATTCATGAAATATGAAAATATTCAGTGACGTGGGACGATACCACCACACATTGCAATGGGGGCCAAATCAGCTCTGACAGACTCCTAAGAGTATCCAATAGCAAAGTCAGGGAATCAACCTCAGTGTCCATCAACAAATGACTGGATAAAGAAAAGGTGGTGCGTGTACACCATGGAATACTACACAGCTGTAAAAAAGGAATGAAATCATGTCCTTTCCAGCAACACTGATGGAGCTGGGGGCATGTACACCATGGAATACTACACAGCCGCAAAAAAGGAATGAAATCATGTCCTTTCCAGCAACACAGATGGAGCTGGGGGCAGTACAGCATGGAATAACTACACAGCCGAAAAAAGGAATGAAATCATCCTTTCCAGCAACACAGATGGAGCTGGGGGCATGTACACCATGGAATACTACACAGCCGCAAAAAAGGAATGAAATCAGTCCTTCCAGCAACACAGATGGAGCTGGGGAATGTACACCATGGAATACTACACCAGCCGCAAAAAAGGAATGAAATCATGTCCTTTCCAGCAACACAGATGGAGCTGGGGGCATGTACACCATGGAATACTACACAGCCATAAAAAAGGAATGAAATCACGTCCTTTCCAGCAACACAGATGGAGCTGGGGGCATGTACACCATGGAATACTACGCAGCCGTAAAAAAGGAATGAAATCATGTCCTTTCCAGGAACACAGATGGAGCTGGGGGCATGATCCTAAGTGAAATAACTCAGAATCAGAAAATCAAATACCAGGCCAGATGCAGTGGCTCATGCCTGAAATCCCAGCACTTCGGGAGGCTGAGGTGGGCGGATCACTTGAGGTCAGGAGTTCAAGACCAGCCTGGCCAACACCATCTCTACTAAAAATACAAAAATTAGCTTGGTGTGGTGGCACATGCCTGTAATCCCAGCTACTAGGGAGGCTGAGGCATGAGAATTGCTTGAACCCTGGAGGCCGAGGTTGCAGTGAGCCAAGATTGCACCACTGCACTCCAGTCTGGGTGACAGAGTGAGACTCTGTCTCAAAAAAAAAAAACAAAAGAAAAGATCACATGTTCTCACTTATAAGTGTGAACTAAACAAGGGGTACACATGGACATAAAGATGGAAGCATTAGACAATGGGGACTCCAAAAGGGGGAGGGTGGAAAAATTATTTATTTGGTACAACGTTGACTATTTGGGTGGTGGGTACACTAGAAGCCCAAACCTCACCATTATATTATAAAATACATCCATGCAAAAAACTTGCACTTGTATCCCTGGAGTAAAAAAATTAAAAATAAATAAAATAAAAGTGAGGACGTATCCCCGTCATTTGAAGAGCTTGCTCAGCATGGATTCCGCTTCAGTAAGCCTGGGCTTCAGCCCAAGATGCCTGCATTTCTAACAAGCTCTCAGGTGATGCTGACGATGCTGCCTGTGGACCTTCCTTTGATGAGTACCACGTGTGCAAAATGATGTATGCAGTAAGAACCCGTTTTTATTTTTATGAAGCTCTTAGTGCATAGAATAAATAAAGGAAGGATCACAAAATGATGCGAACTGACGTTATCTCCGGGTCACGGAACGATGTTCATTTTCAACTGTCTCGTGCTTTTCCACGCTTCCTAAGTTTTCTGACTTCGCACGCATTTTGTTCATAATGAGAAGAAGCTCCAATCGTTTCTGTTAGAGACAAGGCAGTGTGATGTAAAAAGACTGGGATTTGGGGCCCAGGATTTGGAGTTAAGTTACTTCCCCTCTCTGAGGCTCAGTTTCCTAACTTGGAAACCTCATGCCTAAGCGATTGTGAGAATTGAAGCAGATCCTATGGGTAAGTTTCTACGCCGTGCCTGGCACACAGAAGGGACTCTCGATGTCAGGACCTGTCTTCTCCACTGCTGGGAACAAGATCTCGTGTCTATGAGGGGCAATTTCTGTCATTTTCACCAAGTACTTTTGCACCGGCACCCTTGTTTGTCTCCACATCATCTCTGTGACAGAGGCTGGGGGAGAAGCTATCACCATAGAACTTGAGAGCAACCGAGCTGCCCAAGGCCACAAAGCAAGCCAGCACGGGTGCCTGGAACCTCTGTCCCCAGAACACAGCTTCCCTGCTGGGATCCACTCCCTCTAATGTACCCATTGCATGACCCACACACAGGGACCACAGTGGCTGAGCTCTGACACCAGGCTGGGAACAGGCCCACTGCTGAACTGGCCTGGGACCGAGATACAGAACTGGAGTCTCTCTGGGCCTGCCAGGACACAGGCTAGAGGATCCCACACACGATGTGCCACTTAGCCCACCACCCCTCTAAGAGGAACCCTCACTCACTCGTGGGGATTTAAAATCATGACAATGTGCTTTTCCTCATGGAACATTTTGAACATCTCATCTGTTGAAATAACTCCACAATGGGCCGGGCGCGGTGGCTCACGCCTGGAATCCCAGCACTTTGAGAAGCCAAGGCAGGCAGATCACCTGAGGTCAGGAATTCGAGACGAACCTGGCCAACATGGAGAAACTGCATCTCTACTAAAAATACAGAAATTAATTGGGCATGGTGGCACATGCCTGTAATCCCAGCTACTCAGGTGGCTGAGGCACAAGAATCGCTTGAACCCAGGAGGCAGAGGTTACAGTGAGCCGGGATCGCGCCACTGCACTCCAGCCTGGGTGACTGAGTGAGACTCTGTCTCAAAAAAAAAAAAGAAAAAAAAAAGAAAAAGAAAGAATTCCACAAGACAAGTTTGCTACTGGTAAGTTCTTTTCAGCTGCAAAGGCAGTCAACCAATTATAGCCCCAAAGCCCAACTGAGCTCTCAAATTACTTAGATTGGTTGTTTACAATGGTCAGAAATGAGTTAGGTAACTTTAGAATCTTCCCTTTGCTATGTGATGTTCAGGGTAAACTTTTGCAAGTGGCACCTGCCACATCTACATTCTTTTCTCACTTACTATCCCAAAGTGAGGCTACATAGAACCTAAAAGCCAACATGGATTACATTGATCCCTGATCAAAATCAAAACAGGAAACTGCAGCTGCCGCTCATGTTGCCACCCTGATGATTTTTCACAGCTCCCTCCAGATGGACATGGCTCTGTGGGAACACCAGAGTGAAACCCAAGGGCTGTGCCCTAGCTGGGAGTCAGGAGGCTCTGCACAGGCTGCTGAGCAGAATCACTGCACCTTGCGCCTCGCGGGGCCAGTCTCCCTCCACATGCCTGGACGCACCCCTCCCAGTGTCCGGGAGGCAAAGAACAGTCACTGGAGAACTTGTTCTTAAAGACGGGACCTGTGTGGTGACCTCCTCCACGGCCTCCGAAAATCCACACTGTGGAACAAGGGACTGCAGAATGTCTGGAAGGTTTCTGGGCAAGGGGTGGTGACAGAACCAGTGGTTCCTTCTGTTCCGGTCTTAGGCCAGCCCAATATTGTCATCATCCGTCACCCCATCGCTCCACCATCAGAGGCAGCCCAAGGCACAGGGGACAAATGCTGGTGTTTCTACAAAGAAAGGCCCA